AGCGCGCCATGGAGGAGGAGCCGCGCTGCCCCCACCCACGCATATATGCTGCTTTTGCGCCCAGAGGCGGGGCCTACGCGCCGTATGAGAGTGGGAGATTCCGTGCCTCTTCGCTCAACAGCTTTCCGCCTTATCGACAACCCTCTGTCAATACGCGCGCTGGTTAGGATACCTCTTTGCTCAACATGTTTTTCGCGTATCGGCGGGAGTTTTTCAGCCTCTGTATCGAGGCGCGCTGGCTAGGATTAGTAGGATTCCGTGTCACCTCTTCGCTCAACGTGTTCTCCGCGTATCGGCGGGAGTTTTCGAGCTTCTGACGAGGCCCGCTGTCCAGGATTCCGTGCCTCTTCGCTCAGCAGTTTTTCACCTTACCAACAAGCCTCTGTCGATACGCGCGCTGGCTAGGATTCCGTGCCACCTCTTCGCTCAGCGTGTTCTCCGCGTATCGGCGAGAGTTTTTCAGCCTCTATATCGAGGCGCGCTGGCTAGGATTAATAGGATTCCGTGTCACCTCTTCGCTCAACGTGTTCTCCGCATATCGGCGGGAGTTTTCGAGCTTTTGACGAGGCCCGCTGTTCCAGGATTCCGTGCCTCTTCGCTTAGTAGTTTTCCACCTTACTAACAAGCCTCTGTCGATACGCGCGCTGGCTAGGATTCCGTGCCACCTCTTTGCTCAACATGTTCTCCGCGTATCGGCGGGAGTTTTCGAGCCTCTGACAAAGCGCTGGCTAGGCACGTGGACGTGGTCGTGTCCGTGCTAATCGTGCATTATATATATACCACATTCTTCACCTACAATTTGTGGATGTACAGACATGAATTGGAATGTCATTTCATCAGCAACATCGTAAAATAAACGTGATTTATTTATTCTCAATTTGTGCACGTAGCATAATTAGCACGGTCCACGTTCTCGTGCTATGATTTGATCGACAATGTTATAAGATAGCCGTGGTGCATAGTTTCTTTTTGAAAACGTGGACGTGGGGCGCTAGCGTCCGGGGGAGATCGCCGGTCCCACCCAAGAAGCCGGCGTGGCCCCTCTCACGCTTCTCTCTGTCTTCGCCTTCGCACGTTTTCTACATCCCGTTCGCGCTAACTAGTCCCGCGCGCGAGTCCCGCGACCAGCTGATCGGCACGACGCGTGTGTTGCGGAGGCGTGTCATCGCGCGGAGTGGTGAAGGATGCGGTCGGAGAATGTCAGCTATACGTAGACGCGAGAGATTGGCCGATCAGGGGATCGGAGGCTCTCGATCGCTCGGAGCAGACCGAACTGGAGGATGTCGCGCAGTGGTTGAGTCTCCGTCTGTTCGCGCTCGGAAACGCCAACAGTCGTCGGATGTGACACCTCAGACTCTCGTCGCGTGTCACTCGTGCCAGATTTGTGCCTGATCGCGCCAGTGATGCTTCGACCGCAGCTTCCCACGGTTACGCACGATCGCTCGTGAATACCACTGCCCGACCAGGACATTTCAGGACACTAATTCGTGAGTATCGCTTTCTATGCACGGGGGTGACACACGTGTGACTGACGTGCTTACGTCAGTGCGAGAAATTGCTTTGTTTCACCTGCAGGCTGAGATCGCGAGCAGGAAAATTTTTATCAACGATAAAACGTACGCGCGATACGTGTATGCATAATGTTTAAAAATTTACATATTTACATTTATTTATTATTTCATTACGATATAACGCATTGATCTGCATAATGAAGCAATTATTTTCTGCGGTGTATATATTTTTTGTCTCATATTTTTATTTGCGTCACCTTTGTTTTATAACTCATAGTTTGTTGTCCGTCAGGCGGAGAAATCATGTCGTACTCCATCAATAGACGACCCTTACTGGGAGGTGCGTCCGACAGCGAATTTGAGGATGATTTGGAGACTGAAGATGACCCTAGCATCACAACTCCTGACGAGAAACCATTCTTGAAACCACATGAGCCACATGACAAGTGTGTTCCAGTATTCAAATTTAATTTCATAATTATTAACAAAGTCTGTCCCACCATTTATACCTATAATTTTTTGCATATTTTAGATACAATCTTGCGTACATTGTGTTTTATTTACTCGGAATAAATACAATAATCCCATGGAGTTTTTTCATGACTGCTGAGGACGTAAGTGACGTTTCTTTGTTTTTTTTTTCACCTGCATGTGGAATATTATTATCAGTTTCTTATAACGTATAACATGTTTCTTTCAGTATTGGATGTATAAATTTAGAGAAATTCATGATAACTCGACAAATCTCACTCATACATATGCAGAATTGCTTGAGCAGAAAACAGATCTTCAAGCTAGTTTTACTTCTTATTTAAGTGTAGCCAGCGCATTGCCAAATACTCTGTTTTTAATATTAAATGCATTTATTAGTAGGAGGTAAGTGAAGAATCATTTGTTAAGAAATAACAGACAAGTATACGTTTTCAAAAATGTATGCCACACATTTATTCATAAGAGTGACTCAAAATTTCTTATCTTCTTTTTGCGACTAAATTCATCTTTGAATAATTGAGAGTCCCAGGCTACGTTCGGGAAGCTATCGGCGCTATTATGTCATTCCATCTTTATTGTTAATTAGATGAAAAACAAGGAAAAAACAGCGATAATAGCGCTGATAATCCCCGAACACAGTCCTATACAAGGGAATATTTTACATATTTTATGCAAAAAAAAACATTACCATTTCAATTCTTTTATATTACATAGAAAAATCAGGAAAGTGATTAATAAAATCACGTATCAGAAAGATGGAAGCGATATTTAAAGTCTCTAAATTTCCAGAGTCTCTTTAACTGTAAGAATGGTGGGTTCTCAATGTATAATATTGCTGCTCTTCATCGTGACGACCGTATTTGTCGAGATGAAAACTGACAAATGTAAGCCAGCAAGTTATTTCGTCGATACGTCCACGTTCGCGTAATAATTAGAATTACTTTTACCGCTTCAGAAATAAAAACTAACGATTGTTTCCAGGGCAAAATACATTCCTAATAATTACGTTGACGACAGTTGCGCTTGTAAATGGTGCGTATTATATGCTATTAAATAACGAGGATATGCCAGTAATTTGAAGAGGCAACAATAATATAAATATTCTAGCTGCGAGCGCGATCTTTGGCGGGAGCCTAATGGGTATAGTGGGCAAGTTTTCGCCAGAGTACATAACGGCCATGTCCGGCGGGCAAGCCCTCGGCGGAATAGTTACGGCCATAGCGGAGATATGCTCCTTGTGGATCGGTGCCAGCCCGGTGCTTTCCGGCTTAGTCTATTTCATTATCGGCGACACTATGCTGCTAATGTCGCTGATCGCGTATGTCCTTTTGGAGCGAGCGGTGAGTCAATTTCGTTTACCTCGGAATTAACTTATCATCTTACTGCGTTTCCGTCAATCCGGATCAGTGCGGGTGTCACATGCAAAACAATGAGATCATCAGACACACTTATTGTCCCGCTGTCACGATGATGCATGCGGCGCAAGTGTTTTACAAATGTATGATAAGCTACTTATGATAATAATCAAAATATTATACACATTCCACAACGTGTTACACGTATGATCTGTTGGAGAGAGAGATTACACATGACTCATTTAATATGGCTTTTAAATGGCTTCCAAAAGCATTCCTGACCTCTCGCACGTTTCTTTTCACAGAGCCAATTTCGTTAATTAGATTATAAACAAGAGGCTCAGTTTGGGAGTCGGTGCTCTACAGCGTTCTTCTTCCTTTTACAGCCATTCTTCAGGCATCACACGGTAGAGAAAGTACCTGAATTAGATTCTGATTATTCCATAAATGGGGAAGTCAGCTTCTCGACGGGGGGTCCGAGCGTGTCCTACACGCGGATTGCAAAGAGGATCTGGCATTACGGCGTCAGCTTATTCTTAATATTTTTCGTAACGCTGGCTATATACCCGGCGGTCACCGTGCTGGTGGAGAGCGAATACAAGGGCAAAGGCTACGCATGGAACGGTAATCTCGAATCCTCATACATATATTCAATATGCTTTGTAGATCTCAATGAATTTGTGAACATAAATATGAAACGACTTTCCAGACATATACTTTGTACCTGTGGTTACGTACCTTATCTTCAGTGCGGGCGATTATGCGGGAAGAGTGTTATGCGGTGTTCTTCAATGGGTGAGAATCTTAGTTTTTACGATTTGCAAACACTCGTTTATGCGATGCTTATCGGGTTTTTATCATTACAGCCGAAAGGCAGGCCGTGGCTCGTGATGTTTTTGAGCGTCGCTAGATGTATTTTTATACCTGCGCTCCTGTTTTGCAACGCGCAACCGAGGCATCATCTACCCGTTTACATTCACAGTGATATATATTACATCCTAATAACCGTTGCGTTCGCCATCACCAATGGCTATCTCTGTAATTTAACGTTCATTCTCGCGCCCACGTAAGTATATTTTCAACAAATAAAACTCGGTTGACCGCAAGAGATTGCTCCTTACAATCGTATGCATTTACTTTACAGAGTCGTAGACAGTCAGGAAAAGGAAATTGCGTCTGCGATGATGGGCGCTTTCTTGGGTATAGGATTGGCATCTGGCGCCACGCTCAGTTTATACATGGTGAAGGCTCTTTAATGTTCAGTCCCTTTAACTGTAGACGAATGTAAATTAATGACATGACCTCACTGCCCTTTGTACAGAATTAAGGAGCGAGAGTATTTTATGATTATTAGCTTTTAAATGTGTAATAACGGTTAGTATAAATGAGATCGAGCTCTCGGTAAAACATTGCAGTTACGATTTTTTTCCGTGAAGAACTTTCTCGGCGCTGATTTCTGCAGTGTTTTATTGAAAATCTGAACGGTTCTACATTAGAAATATAATTTTTATGACTGTTTTTTAATTCATCTGTTTACTACTGGTCCCTTCCACTTAGCGACACAAGCGTCTTTTTTCAACATCCAGTGTCGACAAAGATAGAGCATAACGCTAAACAGAAGGCACCATACAATTGCATGGTGCAATTTCGTATTAACGTATTTGACTGTACAAGACATACTAATTGACGAGATTACAAATTAAATTACGAGATTAAAATTTGTCAAATTATTAGAGACAATGTTGAAGTTATGCATAAATTTTATTCCTAGAGATTTATATATAATTTATGATACATTTATTATCTTAGGATAAAATGTATGTAACTACAAATGTTTACATTTACATATGACATCACAGAAACAAGTATACTTACGAATTATTTGAGACTCTGATATCATTGTACATTGTAAATTATGTACATTTACTTTTAAATATAGCATCTAATTTAGAAAAAAAAAGTACAGTAATTGAAGCGAAAAATAGAAGAGATATACATACAATAAGTAAAGATTATAATAGTAGTCTCGTTACAAATAGATATATAAACAATTTTATGTATGTTAATAAATAAAATACTCAATGACATAGCCGTCGTCGTTTATTTTGTAAAATAATCTTAAAAACATATAAAGAAATTATTATGATAAATAAGTTACGATTTAGAGATATTATTATTATATCAAAGTTTTAAGCAGATGCAAGTGACAAATTTACTATTTGGAAAAGCATTAGTGTTTAAGTTTTATTTTTCTTTTTCTGAACTTTGTATAATTTACTTTTAAGCTGGAAAACTTTGTCAATCAATATAATTACATGTCTACATACAAAACCAAATCTTTTCCAAGTTACAGCAATATCTAGTTCCCTTGTGAAACAAAATCTGATAACAGAAGTTACAGTTTCATATACTACAAGATGGCAAGCTCGAAAATATATATATATAACTATTAGATTAATCTACTAGATTAATTTTTATAATGATTTGTAACAACAAATTTGCTGTGCAAGGGTGTGTCAGCGTAATGCTTATAGACTGTGATACAATTTAAATTATATATATATCATAGATATACATTATAAATATTTTTTTACGTGAATAGTGAGTGGTTTTCGCGATGTCAAAATATTAAATTGATATCAAAATGATGAACTAATTCAAGAAACCATAAACATAAATAAAAAACAAACATAAAAAAATGGCGCTCACTTATTGGAGCTCGCACGTGCCTCATGATCGACGGTACTGTCGTTCCTTGTCGGTGAGAGGGACAAACACCACGCCTATCAGGGATCGCTGCTTGATCTTGCCGTCCAGAGTCTTGTCGATTTGCATTAGGGTTTGATCCGAATTCTCTGGACCCATGGGCACTATTAAACGTCCGCCAGGTGCCAATTGATCTATCAACTGACAGAAGACGATAAATATCGTAGCGTTCGTCCTGGGCATAATGTTACGGGAGTAATTCCGAGCGATTTTTCTTACCGGTTGCGGCATATCTTTGGCGGCCGCTCCCACGTGAATAGCGTCGTACGGTCCACGACTGGGATATCCCAATCTCCCGTCACCAACTGAGAAAGGGCAATCACGAAAATCATTTCATTAAATCACTAATCATCACATGGAGAAATTCGTGACACGTCGAACAGTACATGTGTTTATTTGAAAGTACATATAGACGTTTGCACTCACCAACCAATTCCACGCGTCCGTCGGTCAAAAGTTCCGGATGGTCGTGCCGGATGTTCTCTTCGGCCATCGCTCGAAGCTCTGGAATGTGATCGATTCCAACGGCGACCCCCTGTGGTCCCATCATCAGGGCCATGCATGCTGTCAAGTATCCGGATCCAGAGCCAACGTCCAGCGCCCTTGTGCCGTTATGCAGCTTTTCTTCAAGCAATTCCAGGGCATACGCGTGCTAAAGAATTTCCGTTTGTCTTCCAACTTGTAATTTCCTTTTCAGTGTGTTTTTTTTTTTTTTTTAATCAGTGCGTATACATCGATTTAATTACTATCTCAGCAGTAAGTTGCTTTTACTCTTAAACGATTGAACGAGACTCTGTTGCGAGCTATCTTTTTATCTCACAATGTGAAACCCGAGTATTGACTTGCAGACATTACATGACATTGACGGCTTTCGTACACGTGGGGAAAAGAATACATTGTATTATATACCATGTGGGGAGCGCTGATGGTGACGCCGTAGCCGATCCCTTGTGGTGCGTCTATGTAGGCATGGCTGGGATGAGTGTATTTTCCTCTGTCCACAGAACTCATTACGTCAAACACTCCGTCAGATTTGATCACCCTCGAGCCTGAAATCATTTTACCACGCAATATGTATCGCTTTCACTGAATGGCATAAAACACAAACAATAATAAGTGAGAATGCAAAAAATAAAGAATTTAAATTTTTACCACGCTAATATATATGTATCGTAATTTCCACTGAATAACATGAATCGTAAACTGAATCGTAAACAATAGGTGAGAATGCAAAAAAAAATAAGGAATTTAATTTTTTTTACGTTAATTTCTTATATACATTCCAGCTGTTGCACATAGGCTGCATTTGAGAAATATGCTATATTACGTGTCATTTCGACCTTGTTTTACGCCCAATAAACGATAAAGATAAAATGATACAATACGGCATGCTCCTCGAAAACGCGTGTAAACATGCGCATTTATTTTCCTCAAACACTAAAAAAATTGCTCTAAATTCAAACGCAAAAAACGCGAAAGGGCAACAGCTGTCCATTTTTGTGAATCTAATCTCACGACCTGGGCTGTAAATCAGATTGTAAATACATATTGCATAAACTGCGTTGCAATTCCAGATCAATCTCTCCCGAGACGGGGAGAGGCAGCGTGCGGCGGTCTCCGACAGAGGGGGGGGGGAGAGGATGGGGGGGCGCGCCGATGACACAACATTGCATAACCCGCGCGTATATCGTATCACTTACGCCGCAGATGCTGTACGAGCTCCTGATTGTTCCTGCCACGATAACGCCCGTACGTGGCCATGTCGCGGGCGATCGCGACGGGCGACAGGATCGCGAGCGTCGCGCAAAGGCACTCGACGATCCGAATCTTGGAGAGATGCGTGGCGGCCGGCGTGTCGGGAGCGACAGGTGGAGGCCGCGGGCGACCTGTCGACCACGTTGCGAGAACTCGGCACTCGGCGACTCCCGGAGCGGTGCGCGTCCACGACGCGCGTTATAATCCGATCCGAGGAATTGTCAACACCCAACGATCGTTCCGCTTCCTTTCTCGCTTCGGATTTTAGCGGAACGCCGATGCGATTTTACGCATCAGCTCCGAGTCGCCTCCCGTCGCCTCTCGTGAGCGCCGACGACGATCGAAACGTCGCCGATTCGGAACTGGACGGTGGACCGACGCTCGCCGCGGATTCCGGGACAGCCGGCGCTGTTGAGCAATAATCGCTGGCTCGCACGCTCGCGACCTTCGTCCCGTCCCGGCGTTGCTGTTGCAGAAACGTTCGCGCGCGAAACGTCACGCTGCGCACGTCTCGCGCTTTTAAAAATAGACGAAGGGGGGCCGCGCCACGCCGCCAGTCGACCGCGCCGCGCGGGTACACTCCCTCGTCGTACGCAAGCGGCCCGAGAGGCGAACCCCGATTGGTGGACGCTTCCGCGGATCGATCGCCCGCGAGTTTCGCTTGGAATTCGAGAATCGCGACGGTGCGCTCGATCGCGCGCGGCTGGCTCTCTTCACTTTAATAATCCGCATATACGATAAAGAAACGTATAGAACTCGAACGTTTTAGTTTTTACCGCAATAAAGTTGGAAGTTTACGTTCAAGTAGAAAGATAATTTATTTCTCTCTTATAATATGGTTTTTCTTAAAAGATACTCGTTCATATAAATAAGTGCAATCCTTTAACACAAAAAAGTCGAAATTGATGATACAATACGAGCAGTTAGAAATACATAAATAAGGTGTTCCTGCACCAAGCGACAAAACTATAAGTTTAAGATAATGTAAAACTGTATTTTACCCCGTTACATTATTAAACATTTGTGTCCTTATTGTTAATTTCATTCCTTTTAATTCTTCCCCATATTTTAACGGAAGTTTCAGAATCAAGACATTTATGGAACAAAAATATTAGTATTACATGATAACAGACCGTGATAACGCGATAGCATCAAGCGATCACGTATATATGCAGCCGCGACTGCAATATGTTAATTTGACGGACGAAATGAAACGGGTGGGAAGGAATTAAGCGTCAGGGTATGTACAAAATATATATATAGTTTATTGATATATCCCCAATTGTGAAGACGACGTGTATACTCCATTATCTACGCATGCGTGAAAACAATTAGTTCGTGGATACAAAAATTTTGACTAGTTAAACAAATTCGGGTTCGTTACGCGCTCGATTTTTAATCGTCCTCAGTTTCGTCAATTTTGCGGTGTTTTTTTTTTCTTTCCCGCCCGCGTGACACCTCACCTTAATGGCTCTAATTACGTAATTGAGTGGTGGGATCCGTGAGAGGAACGTAAGAGACTTGCATCAGTTTCTTCTTCGTGATCGCGCCGTCCGCGCTCTTGTCCACCTGCAGCAGGTCTTGGAACCTTTGCAGGCCTTCTATGGCCACGACCGGGCAGATCAGTCGGCCTCCGGGAGCCAGTTGGTCTATCAACTGCAAGAGTCGAGCATCGCTTTATCCATCGCGTGTATCGCAATCTACACTGAGAAAAGAAGTCTGGTAATAGCAGCCCAATGTAATTTTTTTAGCATATATCGGTGCAACATTAAGTAAATATTATCAAACATAATAATAGTGACCTAACCAGCCGTTTGGTATAACAATTATCAAATATTATCAATATTTGCAAAAGTAAAATTAGAATTTTAATTATATTAACCGAATATTTGTTTGCAACTATCTCACCGAAGCTTCGTAATCGTTATCTAGGCTCGATTATTACTACTAGACTTTTTTCTCTCAGTGTAACATCTAATTCTTTTTTCTTTCCTGGACTGCGTTACAAGGGCCGCCCCTTGATCTGTGCTTACCGTCTGCGGTAAAGCTTCGGCCGCTGCTCCAACGTGTATAGCGTTGTAAGGTCCGTCAGCAGGGTGTCCCAATCTGCCGTCTCCCACTAGGCGCATTCATAATGACCTGTCGTTAGTCGGCAGTTCTTTATCTTTTACCTTTACAGCAAAGCCACACAGTCGGTGGACAGTGTTCCGTTCGACTCTTCACGGCAACGTACATACCTACTCCACGTGGATGGATCACGAGTATTTTTTTATTCGGACTATGCAATACATGTGATACTTCATGAACGTTTTTTTTTCTCTCTCTCGTCTCGTGCGACGAGATTTTCTTTTTTCTTTTTTTTTTTGTTTGTTTACACGGAGTTTCATGACAATGAGACGTGAAGGAATGGACGTAACATTGACGAGAGAAGGAGCTTCGACTGTCGTTGAGTGAGACGGGACCGGTCAGGGGGAACGGGGGGATTCTAAAACGTTTAAAACGAGAGCACCCGGCCAGCTTACCCACGAACTTGATGCGGTCCTCCTTGAGGAAGTGCGGATTGTCCTCGCGCACGTTCCTGGTGGAGATCTCTATGAGCTCGGGGATATGCTCGATGCCTATCACGCGCCCCCGCGAGCCCACCATGAACGCCATGCAGGCGGACAGATAGCCCGAGCCCGAGCCGACGTCGAGTGCCTTGGCGCCGTCGGCGAGCTGATCGGAGAGGATGGACAGCGCGTACGCGTGCTGCAAAAGAGAGATCGGCGTGACTTATCGGACCCCATCACCGAGCGGAGTTGAATTTCAAGAAATGTATATTATATCTACAGTGACAATTATCTGCGCGACGCGTCAATATTGTTGCGCGGAAAGTCTTCAGTCGTCAAGCCAAATATGTTTAACATAAATAACGTAAAAATAAGATAAGAAGGTTACTCGGCGATAGCCCCATTTCAAACCGCGCGTTCCTTACAATTGTTTCCATCAACTTCATGTACGTATATACATATAGACGTTCGTTTATAATATTCAAGTGTATTGATTTTTATCGTAACAAATTGTTAAGATATCCGCGCCAAGCAGCGCTAAACGAAAAATTTGCTCGCTAGAGTTCTACGTTTACCATGAAATCAAGCAGATAATTAAAATCAATAGTTTAAATTACTGCTTTCGCATGAAGATTTATATGTTTCACGGCTGTGCAAATGTAGTTTCTGTATCCATACTGTATAATACTTGACGTAAAAACACCACGGCAAGATGATCCATACAAATTTATAATCGCAATACAAACATCTGTTTCGCAGAACAGAAAATAGATGAGGCGTACATACACACACTTACCATGTGCGGCGCACTGATGGTCACGTTGTAGCCGATTCTTCTGGGACGATCGAGATAAGGGTCCGGTTCGTGGCAGTATTTCGCTCTGTCAACAGCGAGCATGGCGGCTTCTGCCCGGTCCGTTGCCAGTATGCCAGCATCTGCGAATAATCTGTCCCTATAATTGCCGTACAAAGCCAATTGCGTGACTGTAACTAATCGCGGTTGGGCGCTCCGGCGTAAATGAAATTTAAGCTGCGACAACCAAAAGGCCGTCCTGCTCCCGGAGGCGTTTCGCGTCTCCCGCGACGAGCGAGGACGCAAAGGGTCATTTACCTTTCAGCTTCGTCACCATCTCTTGGTTCGTAGTGCCGTTGCAGTGCCATGCCATGCTTCGCGGACTGTCGACCCACCGCGCGATCCACCGGGGAGGGCAGTCTCGTAGCGCAGCCGAGAGGACCTGCTTTCGCATAAAACGAGACACACACAGATGATCGCGAATGACAACAGAGACGACGACGACGACGACGACGACGCATGACAACGCTCGCCGACCGATCGATCTAATTCAGGTCGCCTTAACCTCTGGCGATAATTAACGATCGACGGGACGGTGTGTTTGACAAGCGGCTGATAAAAACGAGCGCACCTTGAAAGCTTCAGGGGAGCCTCATTTGTCGCGGAACGTCCTCATTCCTCTGATTCCTCCCGTACGCGTGCCTAATATGGCCGTGGCGTGATGACACACAGGTAGAGCGACCTTAAGGGAGTACCGCTGGTGGGGGGACGAGCAGCGGGAGTAGGGAGGGGGGAGGGAGACGAACAGCTGATGCGGTGACTATCGATCGCCTCGTGGCGCGAGACAGGAGCGCGGATTTAAATCTACTCGAGTACGCGTAAAACTTCGACATGAAAAATTCTACAACTGTAAAAATGTTAACGTGAAGCATCGCATAAATTATTGACGCCAGCTTTCTCAATTCGATCTAAAGATCGCAAGAAAACAGCGAAGGTAGAGAATTAGGAATAGTTTTAAATGCAATTTCAAAAAGCTACACAGTCATTTTATTGACTGGATAAAATCTTAATTTAAGATCCAACTTAAGACAATTTTAATAAGTACAAGGTTGGACTATTCATAGCCCGATAGATGATTTAAAAATATAAAATCTTATACTTAAGATCGTCTCGAGTCGAATTTTAGCAAGCGTCAAAATTTCACTCAATGAGATGACGGCACTGCTTCTCGAGATCTTTAGAAAGTTTAGAACGAACTTAAATATAGTGGTCAAACTTATAAATATCCTCCTCGGACGTAACTTCAATCGGTTATTCGCGCGCAGACTCATTCGACAACAATATTCGAGAATTTCCGTTTCTTCAACTTGACGCTTCGAACATATGATTAGCCAATTTTGTACTTTGACGCGCGTCGAACGCGATGCACAGGATTTGAATTCAAAGATGTCTCGGTGGATTTCTGGAATCGGCTTTTCTTTAATAAGGAAAATAAAAAAAAGGAAATTCTAAAAAGGGAATCGTTTCTGAACGGAACGAGCAGAACTCGAATACGACTTTGGGACACCTCGACGTTAAAAAAAATCACATTATCGTGCGACAAATTGTGTACAAGAAATGTAAGCGCCAGTTTTCCGCGTCGTAATTATAGCGCGCTGCGAGTCGTAATTTTATCAATTAATCACAAATCGCGCCGTTGGACAGCGATGGTAAATTAACTCTCTTCCGTAACCCAGCGCGAGATGCAACGGCAGTAAATCATTGCAATACATTCTCACACGACACGATGATTTAGAATGAGAGACGCGAGATAAAGGAAACTGTATTCCGCTCGAACCGGCGCGGCGAACCTGTGCAAAAACCTCTGCGCAAAAAAAAAAGTTTTACGTCATGATAGCTTGACGTTAAGCATATATGACGTGCCAACAATGGTATCTTGATATCTTTAAAAAGGACTTTTTAATTTACACGATTCGATGTCAATTTCGATCTTGTCTTTCACATTCGCATGTAAACTATAAATACTAAAAATAAAATTATATATGTTCTATTGTATTATAAAAAGAATATTATAAAAAGAATTTGAAGTTTAGATCAAGGAACAAATTTTAAACCTCAAGTATGTACCTCAAGAAGTTACAGTCATTTCATTATATTGAAAATTTTAATACTGTAAAAATTTAAAATGTGAAGTATAAGATCGGAATTATAGTCCCATATAGACTTACGATAAAATTGTATTAAAGATCGTTCTAAGATCTAAAAATAAAATGATTGTGCGTTATGGCGCAAGAAGCGAAAATTTATCAAGATTCACATATATATGCTTGTACACATATCTTTGGCGTATTCGGGGCTTTGATATTTACAAAGCTAAGATACGGTTATCGATTCTATCAGAGTCTAATAGACTTCTTTAAGTCGATGATGGATCCGATAAAGTGGAATGTTTGCCGTGTACACAGAATATTGTGTGCTTATTATTTACGCGATTTCATTAACGAGTGACAACGAGATAAGGATACATGCCCCTTCCTGACAAGAATTTCCGCGTGAATAGCGATCGCTATAAATCGAATTACGGCTCGTACGCGGGTAGAGTGCGAAACGGGCTGCGTGTACCAATGCATTGGTACTCCGCGAATTTAATTTCTCGCCTATCCCTGGCTCGAGGCCGATAAATAATCGCGAAACTGCCGGTGCGGTCGGGTCCGTTTAGAAAAACGTGCGATGGAGAAGCGTGAGAAACCGCCGGAGGAGCCGGGGAAGTTGAGGCAGTTCCTTGCCGCGGTAGTCGGTAAGTTCGAGAGGAGAGAAAGCCCCTTCTCGGAGGCTCTTCCTCGAGGAACAGAAGAGATATGCGTGACGGCTTCAATTAAACGGTGCGAGATCCCCGTAATCGGTAAAGGAGAGAAACTTCCTTCGTGGTGGTCCTCCGATAGATGCGAACAACCCTTAAAAGACAGAAGAATTATAAAGAGGACGCGCGAAAATAAAATCGTGTCTGCATTTTTAAGCGATTGATATTTTAAGCGGTGTGATGCAAGTGATTGTTCTAAATAAATTAGATTATTCGTAGAATTTATCGGCGTTATGTCAATGATACTAACAAAGTGACACTTAATAAAAAAATTATAATATAATAGGAATATGTGCCTGATATATTAAGAAGTCTTTGTTTGAGCAACATCACTTTTTCATCTATAGAAATTCCGCGATATGTATTTGCAGTAAATCAGCTGGCGCTGTCCTATGGGATCGTGATGGGATGGCCGTCGCCGTCGGCTCCGCAGCTGCAAAGTCCTTCGTCACCCGTGGGGGATGAGCCCATGACGGACGCCGGCGTGTCCTGGCTGACTGGCATTTTGTGCCTGAGCGGCACCGCCATGACCGTGGTGATGTCGGTGATACCGGTGGACAAGTTTAGCCGGAAGAGATTCTGCTACGTGTTAACGTTGCCGATAATAATCGCCTGGCTGCTGATCACGTTCGCCACCGATCACACGTACATCTACGTGTCGCGGGCCCTGACCGGCATTGCTGGCGGCTGCACGTTCGTCCTCCTGCCGAGCTACGTGTCGGAAATTTCGTCCGACAGCATCCGCGGGATGTTGGCGACTATCCTGGTATTTTCCGTGAACTTCGGAATACTGGTGGCTTACATCCTGGGTGGCGTAATGTCCTTCCGCGCCCTACCCGTGGCCGTTATAGCGTTAATTGTTTTGTTCCTCATCACCTTCATCTTCCTGCCGGAGTCGCCGGTCTACCTGGTGCGGCAAAATCGTATGCACGAAGCGATTAGGTAAATAAAGGAACGAAGAAAGAAATATTCTCCTTAAAAGCGTTAAACACGAAGGAACGTTGCAATTTGCATTTTCTAGATCATTGAAGTGGTTGAAAGCTGGGAACAGTCAGGCAGCGGAACGTGAGCTGTCGCACATACAGTTGCAAATCAAGGAGACCGCGTCTATGAAATCCGCCAAGTATTCGGATTTGTTTAGAGACAGAGCGACGATCAAAGGACTGATAATCGTTCTGGGTTTGTACGTCGGCCAACAATTTTGCGGGATCTTTGCGATGGTAATTATCAGTGACGGAGATAACATGAACATTTAATGCACTAATTGCTATTATGATCCTTCAAGTTCGCTTTCTTGAAATCTACAAGTGGAACAGTAATTCAATGTATCGACGTTACGACAAAAGTTTTACGTAAAACGAGCTTACTTTTTATAAAACGTGAGTTTCCCCGATTTTTCCAGATCAGCAACACAGAGACTATCTTCAAAATGTCGGGCAGTTCGTTATCACCGAACGCGTCGTCCATCATCGTAGCGACCATGCAGATTCTCGGCTCGGTAGTGGCGATGTTCCTGGTGGAGCGTGCGGGCAGACGGCTCCTGATCCTCCTGTCCTGCGTGGGTATGTGCGTGTGCCACTGCGTAATAGGCACATTCTGTTACCTTCAGACCCTCCAATACGACGTGTCCGCCTATTCGTGGATACCGGTGGTGGCACTGTCCACCTTCATACTGGTATATTCCTTCGGTATGGGCAACGGACCCGTCGTGGTGATGTCCGAGATATTCAGCCGTGACGTGGCCAGCCTGGCCTCGGCCGTGTCTCTCATTGCCAGCTGGGGAAGCGCCTTCGTCATGACAAAGGGCTTCACCGATCTCGTCGCTCTGCTAGACATGCACGGCTGCTTCTACCTCCTCGCCACCTTCTGCGTGTCCAATTTCGTGTTCTACTTCATGCTGCTGCCGGAGACGAAAGGACGAAGGCGCGAGGACATTGTGGATGAACTTAATGGCGCGCGGTGTAAAAATAAGGACAGTGTTAAGCATGTCATTGGGACGGATTCAGTGCATGCGGCGTATGTGTGAAAGTGTTACTTCCAAGGGACTACGTCTCTCCGCGGGATCCGAACTAGAAATACTAACGAAAACTATTAATACTAGCGAAAACACTTTCATTATTTAAGTTCTTTTTGTTGACATTGTTCATCCTGTATATAGCTTTAGAAAGAAGTTTACGTGTTGTCGGTTTCTTAAGAATCACTTCCTTTACGCTGATATGTGCAATACTCGCAAGTTTTAGTCCTTACATTCCATTCATATCGTTACATTTATTCATTAATCAAAATTTAAAATAGTTGCTCAAGTGTTATGCTTAAAAGTATTACGCTTTATTAAAAAATATGACTCAATGTATTGCGAAAACAAAATGATTAATTAAATATAATAATTAAATATATTAAAATCATTTTGTTTAGATAAAAAGGAGACGAGTTTCGCGTCATTTACTTTAACTGGTTGAACTGTTGCCTGAAATTTTATTTTATTAACATGAAACTACTTATCGCGGAAAATGCGTAAATTTTTGTAATCTCATATATTATCAGGCAAGTGTGTCTCATAGCACACAAAATGCTAATTTCAAGGATTGACGTGATATATGGCACGACAAATATGACAAAACTGATAATATTAACGATGTCAATAATATTCAAACGATGATATAAACGAGAATGTGTATAAATATTCACTAATTCGTTGGTTTTAATAACAAAATTATTATTATAGATAAGAACAAAGATTGTATAAAAAGATATGTAGATATTTTACAATAATTTGCTCTAAGTAATGCTGAAAATTAATACATTAATTATATATTAAATAATATTATGTTAATAAAAATTAATTAATATTAATTATGATAGAACCATAATTTTTATATAAAATAGAATTTTTTATTTACACTTATATCAATGTGTGTATTTATTTAGAAATACACACATTTAAGTAGATGACACGATATTCCTATTTACATACTTCTGCAGTAATATATGTATAAACAAGGACTCTAAAGTTATAATATAAATGCGAACTTATGACGACTCCATAAGTATTACTAATTTAATGATGTTTAATTGTCCATGCATAATCAAAAAATACCTTAGATAAAAATCAAAGGATAGAGGATTTTCTCACTTTCCACAAATAAATTATCAATCGTCAGTCGTTCTTTTGCGCACGTTTTTGTTACCGATCTTTCTCTTTTTAAAAGTAGTGGCCGCTCCTTCGTCGTCACTATCACCCGTACTAATTTGCGTAATAGTTTTTTCTTTAAAAGTCCTCTGTAGTGGCGGTGGTTCTGCCTTCGTAAACGTGGGTAGCTGTATCTGCTTCTGCTGCTTTGGCAACTGTAGATCCACTGGTTTCTTGTTGCTGAAACATCAAATGTTTTTGTATTTATCTTGAGATTCTATGAGAAAACAATGTAGGAAATTAATTAATCCTCGAGTCTCATATATTATATTATCAAATAATTGATCGGCCAATAGAACAATTAATATATAGCTCAATTCCTGCAGCATTTTTAATCGTATGTTAAAATATACAAATGTTCTCTAATATACGCATCGCCTGCCCCCCCCCCTCACCCCTCGAGAATTAATATTAAGAGCAAAGATTTGTCGCAAAGAATTGCCGCGCGATAAATCTTCGCGAATATCTTAATCCATCTTGGCTACCGGAATAGTAGAGCGCGTTAAAATATTTACCTTGTCTCCACGACTTGCCAGGATCCGTAAGGCTGCGGTCTCTCGGGCACACTGTAGTCTCGCCGGTAAGGTCGTTCTTCTTCAAATGCCTCTTTCTTTATTTCCGCGCTTTCACCGTCATCTTGGGCGTCGTCGTTTTCAACGGGTCGTTTCCTCAACTCTCTCATCTTCTCCCTCTCGACGTTGGCCCGCTGCTCCTCGAGAATATCCGCCTTCTCGATAGCTTCCTCCTTATCCAATTGTTCCATGAGCTCTTTCTGGAGCAATTCCTCCTTCGCCTCCTCTTCTTGCTCCGCGAAAGTCATGTAACCCTCCTCCGGCGGCTCCCACATCGACTCTAAGGTGTATCAAATAATATTTATGAAATGCTATGACAGGCTAAGACAGGTTTCAGAATTCAAGCAGAATTCATAATATACAAAATAGTAACTTTAGGGGAAAAAAACGAGGCAAAGACTAAGCAACTTAGAATTTAATATCACGTTGGTGAGAAATAAAGCAAATAAATATAATAACAAATTCGTAATCATAATTTATCGACATTTCACAGAGAAATTTAAAAATTTTATTTTTTAAATGGTATTTAAGATACACATAGTTTAAATATAAAAGATAGAAAAGTAATTATGTTAATTATAAATAATAAATTAGTAAAAGGCTAGACATATAGAAATTACAATGTATAAATCTTAAAAAGTAAATACAAAAATTGCAATTGAGATGAGTATAGGAAAAAAACGGAATGCCAACATAGTTACTGTCTGAAGGAACGAAAGGTACGAAAGAAGATGTAGAAGTAAGAAAAGGCAGACGAGCAAAAAGATAAAAAAGTTCGACAAAGGTACACCCACCGTTCGTTTCAATGTGCCAATAGTAAGTGTATCCTTCGGGACTGCGGGCCTCGTACCACAGTTTTCTGACGGGTGCGGTCAGACGATCATCCTCCTGGGTCTTCTTCCCCTTTCCCCTCACCTTGCCCGACTTACTCTTCCCCGGAGTCCTGTTCTCGCCGCCGTGCTGCTGGACTCGCGGAAACGACGGCGCGCCCTTTGACAAAGTTGCCGGGTCACAAGGATCCACTTTCGGCGAGAACTGGAAAAGTTTCAGTTGGAAAGTCGCTTCGCATTGATAGAAGACTACGTTCTAGTTTTCTTGGGAAATAACGGAGGACGTGTGTAATCAAAGGTGCCGCAAGCAAACCGACTCCTACTCCGAATCTTATAAATAAACATGGCGAATGTTTGTTTAATCGTTTCGATCATGAAATAATTAGAGAGATCGATTTGAACCTACGTACCTTTTCGCTATTACTACTTTTGAATCTTGGTACTGTCTCTGGAGCGGCTGACGGGATACGGTTGCAATTTTGAGGCGTCTAGAAATACACATATTACATCACACACATTATATAAACTAAATAAAATGAAAATGCACTGTAAATATAAATATATAGAAAATATATAGAAAATAATAATATAAATGTATATAAAATAAAAATGATAATAGCTTAGATTATTAAATTAAATTTATTAAATTTATTAGATTTATTAAATTTCGTTGTTTTAACGTATAGAAAGAAAATTATAGTCGTTCGATTTTTGCGCGGATCTTCGAAATATTACATCTAATATTATTCGACTTTTCTCAACGAATCTAAAATTAGGCCTTTAATTTAAAGATTAATTTTAAATACACTCACTTCTTTTGTTTCTATCCTGTTCAGTTTCTCTTTAATCATTCTCTCAGCAGTCATATCTCGCGTGTTATTCTCAACATCCTTCAAGTACGCAGCCATAGCCGCCTGCACGAAAAAAAAAAAATGATTACTTTACCATCAGTATTTTCATGTCTATAATTAACGTTGACGAATACATACATTTTCCATCTTCTTGATGTCATCCTCGAATTTTTTATTCTGTTTCGCCTGTTTGGCGCTATTCTTGTGGATCTCCTTGAGCCGCTTGCTGACATTTTCCTTGTGCTTCTTGCCGCCCTCGTGGAAGTCAATACTCGGTTTATTATCGGCGATCCAGCACTTGCAGAAGTCGCAGAACTTGCGGCCTTGGGACTTCCAATAATCCGCCCTGTAATCCGTTATCACAATCTTGAGGTGACATCGCATAAGTATTTACGGCATCGTGCGGGATCGATGCATCGACTTGCATGTGATTTGAAATATAGTTATAAATACAGTGTTCCTCTCGTGTCTCAAATTTGTAAAACTATAGCCACGTTCTTAGCTTCCTATGAAGTACCTAAAAAAGTGTCTCATTGTGTAATCGCGCTGTATATATAAGATTTGTATTTTTGTAAATCCCGAACTAAAATGCACGCGGCTCGGAATAGTCGAAAAAGTTCTATTCTTGACGGCATCGATCGGCAGAGTGAATAATTCAGCCGATTGCGGTTCGCGCTGTCTTCCCGGAGCAATTATTGGAGAAAATGCGGACGATGTTGCCCGTGGCCTAGGAGAAATGTTTTCTCCCGTTCGGGATGAGGACAAATTAGTTGGCAATTAGTCTCCGACCTACGCAGCCTTGAGCATCATTCGACCTTCGTATTACGTCTCGGTTGCGACTAAAGGACTCCCACAGAGCTCAATGGGGGGGCTCGAGAAATTGTCGAGTAGGTATAATTGCGAGATGGAAAATAAAAAAAAAACCCCCACGTGTTCCTGGAATTTCACACCTATTATCTTGTTCTCGTGATTTAAATTTGACAACAATGGAAATAAGACAAATGAGAGCAGAGCGCGATAAAATTTGGATAAAATCGCGATTTAGGATCATAAATTTAAAACTCGAATGCTTACTTTTCATCTCATAAATATTACATATTTCATATGTTCAGAAAAACTTTTGCGCTACCATCACTTACATCGCATTCAATGTGCAAATAATTAATTCCAGTTGAAAATTTCGTAGCTGAACGTACGTCGAACGTATTTCTTGGAGAGACGAAGCTCCAATTAGGAGCTGCCAATTAGAAGCGGAACCATGTCTAATTATTACCCGGAGGAAGAATTCAGGTCGGGAAATGGGCTCGGTGATTTTGCCAAGCGTGGACAAGATGCGAGCGCGAATATTTTTAGATGGAAATCAATTTAATCGTGACAATTCGCTTATATTCAGCTAGCCGAACGATGGCTGTGACGAATAAATTGGATTATATAGATAGACACCAATTTACATCTTTCGAAGGATGTTTTATTTGAAGTTCTAATGAATATCAAACCTTTTTTAGATTTCTAAAATAAATTAGATTATATATAGGTAGACACCAATTTACATCTTTCGAAGGATGTTTTACTTGAAGTTCTATGAATATCAAACCTTTTTTAGATTTCTAAAATAATTGATATCGATCAATAAAATGATTAAACGTTTTAACTAATGGGAAACTATAGTTCAATTGTATTTTCTGTCTAAATGCAATTAATCGCCACAATTACATAAAAATTTTAAGACGGACCCGTCAATCGCAAATATTCACAAATATTTCACGCTGAAAGGAAACAAGTGTCGTTAGACAATAGATTTCCTGATTTCGTTAACTGGCGCCAATGAGCAATCTTCGGTGGCTAAGGCGAATCGATTCACCTCGATTGTTTCTTTTTGCCGAGTAACCCGACGAAGCCGCGAACAAAGTTTCAACCTGTTGCTGTGCCGAACTGTCTTGTCGCAGAAATTCGCTTTGACAATAAACGTATCTCACAATCAGTGGCGCCCGTTTCTATTCTAGATATGCCTCGCCGTGCTTTATTAACACTTTATCAACGTCTCTGGTAACCGGTGATGTTTTATGCAAGATTCAATTCAACTGCGACAAAGCGTAACAATAATGAAAACAGCATCAAAGTTGGAAAGAAGCGGCGTTCTTTGAAAAATAAACTTCTCTCGTACTTTCACGTCGGGAAATAATTAGTTTTATGCATTTTATTACGTCAATGAAAAAAGTGTGTTGTTTCTGTCCGTCGTACTTTGTATTAAATAAAGTTAGAAAATTGAGATTTCTTGAAAAGGGGATAACATTTTTCTCTATGGATGAAGAAGATATCGAAGCCCGCGGTGGGAATTTTGCAATCTGACAAAAGCTAGTAGAACGAAATTTTTTCGTAAATTCAGAATCTTTAAGAATGACGTTTATAACGTAAAAAAATTTTATATCAATTTTTTCTTCAAGTATATTTTAAAATATAATAATCGTATTTAAAAAAACTGATAATTTTAATATTGTGTAGATATAACTGTGACGAACTTTTGGTATCTATAGCATTTACGGGACGAACAAATAGACTATCATCTGAGACGGCTCAATGAATATTCATCGAAATACTGTGGGAATCTCAAGGATTAGTCTGGGGTGTAAATCGATTACAATGTTTCGTCACATAACATTGTCCAATTGGATTAACGGCAGTCGAACTCAAATCACGTATCCAATAATCTGTTCGAAACGAAGTGTACTTGCACGGATTTTGTACGATTGCACAAAGTTATTGCCATTAATATATGTGTCGCTATGTACTCAATATTATGTCATTATTTTTATTATGTTATAATTAAACAGAAATATATTTATAGTATGTGCTAATAAAAAAGAATTTTTTTAGAAAATCAGTGGCAATATAAGGGCAGAAATTCGAGTAATAAAAATCGTACACAGAGAGAATTTTTTTTTTTAATTTACCCTGCAAATCATGTTAATTATGGGACAATATAGTATTTAGGCAAATTTTACTGTGCACTACAATAAGATTTCGCAGTAAAATTTATTGTAGTGCACAGTAAAATTTACCTAAATACTATATTGTCTCACAATTAACATGATTTTCAGGGTAAATTTTAAAAGAAAATTCTCTCCGTGTAGTACTTTCAAATCGCGAGAACTAAATAAAGAAAAAAATCGTAGTTTAATTTTTATAAAAACATTTTGAAAGCAATATTTCAAACTTTCAGACTGTCTCGAGCAAAGATGAAAACGATCTTTCATCAACTTTATGCACTATCTCAAAGTTGAAGTTTCTCAATTCTGTACAATCTACTTGGAAATGATGCTTGGAGCAAAAATATCATTAAGGAAAAACCTCGACGGAAAACAAAATGTTCAGGATTTAAAATTTTCTTTTTTTTTTTAAATCGTACTAGGATTAATTTCCACAAAGTTACGTAAATGTATATTTCATCATTTTGATCGCTCGACTTGAAATGGCCTTTTAATTTTTTCGTTTAAAAAAATACACTTGTATTATTACACGATCTTGATGATCGTTAGTGATTCGTGATATCCCGAAGTTTAATTATAGAAACAGAACGGTGTTCTTAAGCGATTCCAAATGCCTGCAACATCGTGCGAAATAATCATAGATGAATTAGGGCAACGGTAGAGACGGTAGAGCATATGTGGGAGCAAGATTAAGCAAGATCAATAACATAAGATTTCAAAGCACACGGCCATTGGCCGGGTTCCAAAGTGGAAATATCCCTCCTTTGACGATGACCCTCCGTCATCCCCCTCGAGCCCGGCAAGTCCGCTGCATCTATCGTGCACCGTTAAGCCTTTGCGTGGTTGCCTTTGCTAGAGGCTGATGATGTACGCGCGAGTTGTCGAACTTATGTCACCGTAAAACCGCTGTCGCGCGCGTACAGAAAAGGCGTATGTTAGTGGCCGTATGCATTTGTCGCGTTTTGTTGCAGCAACAGGTCCCCGACTGCGTCCTGCAGCTGGTATAAATTAACGATTGTCAAAATGCGGTTGGAAATTTATCGACGTAGATCGTGCGGCGGATGCGCGGTTGTTGACGTCGTCGCGTCTCACAGCTCAAAAGATCTCTCGTACGAGACGCTGCGACTCGAGAAGCGCATGTTAATCTTGACATTTCATCAAAGACGCCCAGTTCCTTTCGCGAGAAATTCCACGCGAAAGTGGTCCGGGTTGTAAGTCTCACGAAACGAGGTCTTAAACGCGATCTCATCGCCGTGGATTGCTGTGGAGGACGAACCGGACCGCGACAACATATCATCCCGCGTCAAATTCAGCATTGCGACGTAAGCGAGATCGCCGCGGATAATCTCGTTATATATCTCGGCACGGATATATATGTTTGTGCACGCGAGGTACGCTAATGATGCGCGTCCGTAAGCAGCTCGCGGGGACCGCACGAGGCACCTATACTTCTGCACGCTATCTATAGAGCGACCGTCACTATTAATATGAGCTATTAATAGAGGCGGATCGCTCGTGGAACACACTTGGGCGCGATTTCTCGATGCGATTCCGCGTCCCTTCGGGGAATTGCGTCGCGTTACTATCCGCGACGGCCAAATGCGACAATGGAGAATTGGTGCCTGCCACTGGCCCCTCCTCCCGCTCCTCTCAACTCGCGCTTGGCAGACCGGTGCGTACGAGAGCCGTCGTTACACGGTTCATCATCTTAATGTGACGCGCTCGCATTTGCGTCCGCCCTTCCTTGTTTGCGTCGCGGCGAAATCGCGACCGCACACTCGGTCGCATTAAACATGCACCCCCTCATTCTTCCCTCCCACATTCTCGAGACACGAGGAGCAGAAATCTGCAGTTTCTCCTCACAAAGCCATTACATCGGCAAAATTTTCTTTGTTTATCTAGCGATTTTCTTTATCTTGCAAATTATAGAGGAACGTTACAGAAGAATGTTACGCTGGTAATAAATCAAGTGATAAATTTGGAAAATTTTCTCGCTGCTTTCCTTCCGCAGACAAACGATTACGTGCGCCCGACCGGCAACAACGTTGTTGCGTAAAGACAACAAAGCCGGTCTCTAAATATAATAAAATCACGGCTTTATTCTTGCCGGTCGTGTTAAAGTGAATTTATTGGCGATTATGTTGTGACGTTTCCGCGCCGGCCAACAACAATTTGGACCGAGGCACCGCAGTCGTTTATCGGGGCGAAAACAATGATTTTATATCCGACGTTACTCCGACGTGGCCGACTCGCCCTCGTGCATCGCGCCAACGCGATGCCGACAATGCAGAGATCGTGCCCTTGATTTCAGCTGCTGCGATGCACATTTACGGCCATTGTGCACAACTTGACGGCTATT